AATTAAAAATTACACGAAAAGGCTACGACTCAGGAACGAACCGAGCTTCTCCGGGGCAAAGCCCCGAACCTGCAATGCCGCACAGGCTGAAAAGCACTGAAGCCATCCGTGCAACCCGCCAAATGCCCGTCTCTCAGCATGGGCTTCTAGGGAGAGCTCGCTTCCTCTGAGGTTTGCACGTTGACCATCTCCAGCTTCTGAACAAGTTCGCTTAGTAAGAAGCCATCCTTGGACAGCACTGCGGCTGGTAAAGATCAGAGAGTGCGAGGGGTGCAGCGGAAGCATTGGTTAAGACATCATTGCTTGAGAATTTGAAGGACTGAATTTCCTGCACATTGCGATATTTTACTCATGGCCCGTGGGTCCATGGGCCCTGTGCCTTTACCTCAAGAATTTGAGCCTCCCTGACATCTGGACCACGGACTCTTAACTTTTACAAGGCTTGCAACACAAACACAGAACTGCACACAATCAGACCTCCAAAATAGAATCTAAATAGAATCTGAAGACTCTCACCTTCCAGGGCTGCGCATAAGTAGACCTCTAAAAAACCTGCACAATAGAAATCTGAGCCCCCTGAGCAGATTCTTAAGCAGCGCTTGCCTTGTACTGAAAGACCTCGACTCTTGACATTCTGCAAACGTCACTGCACAAGCCTACGAGCCTTCTTCTGCGATTGACATGCTTTCAGAAAGGACATGCTAAACAGTTCTGAAAGGTCCGGCCGCTGCATGCAAACCAGCTTCCGGGCACTTCTCTGTCAGGAGAAATCGCAGCGCCTTCTGGATTGCCTTCACAAGATGAGCCCGGCTTGAGCGGTGTGCAATCGGCAGAGGTTCGCCGAAGATTCGCCGAAGACTAAGTCACTGGGCCTTTTCTCGCTTTCCCTGCCGTTCCATTTCCTCCGCGTCTACCTGAAACAAACAGATTCGGCGGCGGCAGCTACGACCTTCGAGGCTACATTCAAATGGAGTCTGCACAAATTCATGCTTTCGTCTGGCACTGGCAACGTAATGGCAGAGATGCCTCGTCAGCCTCGTCTTCGTCGTCGTCGTCGTCCTCGTCGTCATCTTCGTCTTCCTCTGCCTCCTCGTCATCTTCGTCATCGTCATCCTTGCCAGCTTTAGCTGCAGCCTGGGCAGAGATCATAGAGCCACACATGCCTGCAGATGCACTTGCCGCTCAAACAGCTTGGAATGTGAGGCTGGCAGCTGGTGCCGCGGCAGCATAGCCTTTGGAAGCTGTCGAAGCTTTGGCCTGCAAGCACGCATTTTCTGCGGACAGACTTCCATCGACACAGTGTCTACTGTACCTGAAACCCCCCCCAAGTGGTACGCCACAGATCCAAATTTCACTCTCGCACCATCATCGCTCTTAATCGAAAGTTGAAGCCGACGTCGAGATCCCAGAGGCTGGCCTCCTCCGATGCCAGCTTTGAGGCTAACTCCTCAGAACAAACTGTTCAAACTGGATCTGAACGGCATCCAAGTCTGTAGTTCACCCACGGCCTGCTCACGCGCCGTCGTCGTTGTCGTTGTCGTCGCCGTCGTCGTCCTCGCGGTCGCGGTCGCGGTCGCAGTCGTGGTCGTCGGTGCGCCTTTCGCTACTGCTACTGGTGCCACCGTCGTCCTCGTCGTCCTCGTCTTCGAAGCGAGAGTCCCGGCAGCTGCATCACCATCATTTGCAGAAGAACGCGAAACAACGCCATGCTCGTACCGGTCGAAACGCCCTTGTCTTTTCAAAAGTCGACATTTGCAAAATCGAGGAAATGCTCACAGCAACACGTTGTGCTGGATTTGCCTGCTCTCCAAAGACAAACACGAGACGTGAAGCGACAAAAATAACGTAGCATTTTCTCCAGCTGCCCTTGCGTCCATAGCGGTTCCAAATTCCAATGCCCGTTTGCGCAACGAGATGTCCTGCTGGAAGATGATGAGCTTCTGGACAAGGTCTTCCTTTGAGCCTTTCTTTCCCAGGCCTTGTCAGACGGCAGCAACACTGGGTGCTTGTACTCCGAAGTTCCCACTTCGTGCATGTCGCCTCTGCAAACACAGCAACCTACACGTTGCGTCCTGTGTGGCACTGCCGTCTCCCGCAAGCTCCCATCAGAGCCTCTTGCAACACATTCCTCCTCCAGTTCTTTCTTGGACAACCCACTCCTGCAGTCTCCGAAACCAAGAATTGGACCAAGAACTGCAAAGGTCATGCCACCCGTGTCATGTCACGCGATATCTCAAACAAGCAGTGGCACCAGTTTCGTTCACGGAACTTTTTCGCATCCTCGCAGGGCCCGGTCACCGGCAGAGTTCGGCAGCCATCACGAATCAGATTGCTCGCCTGCATAATCGAAGAAGAATCGCCTTCTGCCATAACCTGGGGCACTCGAACTCAAGACCGCAAAGAAACCTTGATTTCAACACGATGTTACTTGGGAATTAGCCTCAACACCTCCGTCCATGCTGCTTGTGCAACACAAGAAGGAACAAAAAGAACTGCTGCGTTCGGTTTGTGCCGTCGGCGCGGCTGCTTGCATGTATACAGATATGAGGTCCAAACACAGGATAGCCGGATAGCAACCGAGACGAAGTCACATTATCCTGACTCGCGTTAAGCAGGATCTTCCCCCAGCCAGAAATAGTCACGATGGTGATGATGAGGACATGGGGGGACTATATAAAGATGAGGATCATGAGATATCATGAGGATGAAGACGATGCGATCGGGGCGAAGAAGGTGGTTGAGTGAGGACAACGAAGCTCAGGACGTAAGAAATCAAGTCATGAAACAGCAGAAGCCGTTGCACTGGCGATGGGCATCGATGGGCCGTGGCGCCGACGCTGTCTTGGTGCCGCTGCTGGTGCTGGTGTTGCGGCTGCTCCTGCTGCTGCTGCTGCTGCTGCTGCTGCTCCCGTTTTCGACCTGAGGCATCCGCTTCTTTGCTTGGGCCTTCCGCCACACCCTTGTTCGCATCGAAGCTGGTCAGTTCAGCCTGCACAAGGATCCGAAGCTGCGAAAATGGACCTCAAGAGACGGCGTTCAAGAGCCGCTGCCTCGTGTTGCTGCTCCAGCTCGTCCAGCTCCTTCTGTGCAGCCTCTTTCATGGCACCTCCAGGTTCCCCGGCAACCACACAGATGTTGGAAAACAGTGCCAGCCTTTGAGCTTCTTGATTTTCTTCTCCAGCTCCTAGCAGACTCGGCCGCTCTGGCGACACAAACTCGGGCGGTCTGTAGCAGGCATTTTCCGCTACAAGTGCCACATACTGTCGTCACTCCTGTCGCTGCTGCTTCTGCCGCTGGACCAACTTCGACCTGACTGAAGGGTAGGTACTCAAATCGCGATGTGGATTCTGAGGCTTCCTGCCTCTCTGCATGAACAGCATCCATGGCGAAGCACGCAGAACCCTTCAAAACATCAATTCTTGTTCACCCAGAAGCAAATCATCATGGTGTCATCGTGAGCTACTGGTTCTGATGCGTGCCGACCACTTCTCACAGGCTACCACATCCCACAGCACGCTCTTACATTGGAAGCGAAGTGCTGCTGAAGTAAGTTATGAATCAGCATGAACCTATTTCAAGCCGGGCCGGAAGTCGGAAAGATAAGTGCTTGGCAACCGCAGCACATCTTTTGTCGCTCGCATGCCGAGGCCGGGTTCAAAGCGATGGCTCGGCATCTACTTCGGAACTATTACTTCACATGTCAGATCTCAGAGCAGGCAGACCAAGGCTGGCCGAACGCCTGCGTCCTGGCGGCTGGCAACTGACGAGCGTCCCATTTCACCGGCAGGGCTCCTGTTTCAAAAAACCGCTACAGCATCATTTCTCTGACGTGTCACAAGTCGGTGTGTCATGCCACTGCACAACTATTCCAACATAGTTCAACAATGTCGCAGCTGCTTCTCGTGACTACTCTCGACCTTGCTCTTGAGGGAATGCTACACAAGTCGCCTCTGCAAAGGCATCATTCCAGACCGACGATGGGCAAGAGACCACAAACAGCGACCATAGTACTGCCACCGAATCGCCAACTTTCGACCACATGCAGAGATTAATCTAAGATGTGACGACAGTGAAACACCAGGGCATTGACTTTTCCAGTGCCCAAGAGCACAGCAGTCTTTGCAGGCTCAAACATTCATTCGCTCCCTACCGGAAATGCCATGAGAAAAGGCCGAGCTAGGCCACTCAAGGAGCCTTCCGAAGCATCAGCTTGATAAACTCCTGCCAGGCTCTACAATCCCGGGGCATGGAACTGGTTACACCCCCTCCCAGCAGAGATCCATCCATGGACCATCCAGTGCTCAAACACCTGTTGCCCATGGCGGCTCCGATCTCCCGGTAACATAGAGGGGTCAAGTCAAAGCCTCGAGATCTTGTCACGCGTCGTGTAGACATGAGTTGACGATCCCTGGATTGTGCCGGCACTGCCGCGGATCGAGGATGGGGTGGCGAGGTGGTCGGAACGGACCTTCCTCTCCGCAAGCCCGTCGCCCTTCCCTTGATCCATGGGGTGTGGATCAACTCTAGGTAGAGATCTGCAAACGAAGGGTCGGAAATGTTCGAGGGACATTGCACAAGCTGCTTAGTTTCAAGTCTCAACTCGGTAGGCCTGGTAGTCCACCAAACCGTCCTGCTGACAATAAGGCGCGAAGATTAAAGCGCATGCTGGTGGTCTATGCTGAGCGATCCTGTTCTGCTGGATGTTGTGAAGCAGCTTCGGCCCTGTACCTGGCACCGGCGTTTGACTTCAAACAACTTTGCATGGCCCAATATTAGCAAGGAAACTCGCTCAGGAAGTTTTCAAACTGCTCGTCGGTGAACGGGTTGCTTCCTAAGGACCTGTGCCACAGTCCAACTTTGTTTGCGTTGTGCCAGACGCAGCTGACAAACATGCAGTCAGGCCGCGTCATCTGCTTCCGGAAATCACTCTCTGCATTGACGCTGATGAAACCACTTCCATCTTTGTCAAAGACCGCAAAAGCTTGAGCAAGCTTCTGCTGAAGTAGCACATCCTTCCAACGTTGTGAGTACCCGAACGAGGTTGGAAGGGAGGGAGAGAGAGAGAGAGA